ATATATATATATATATATATATATATATATATATATATCTTTTTTAATAATATAATTGTTGATACAATTGTTTTTATATAATAATTTTCATAAGAACAGAAAAATATTCCATTTCTTTAATCTTTATATAGTAAATTTAAATTTTTTTTAATCCTTTAATTCTTTAATAATAAATAAAATATCCATTAGCTATATTTATATTTATCGGAGTAAAAATTGACTGTTAATTAATTTTTTAGACATGTTTCATCAAACATATTCTATTGCTCTTTATTTTCTTTTAAATATAGTTTTAAAACTTAAATTTTTCCTACAAATGAAAATAAAAGTTTGGAATATTCGTTGTGTAGTATATCATATAATTATTTAACTAATACTTATCTTTTTTCTCTTTTTATTTTAATATTTTAAAATAAGGAGGAAGTTTTATAAGATCAATGATAAAACCCCAAAAATCATATTAAAAATAAAGATATTATGATATAACATAGTATTGCATTAATCTGCATTAAATTTGCACACACTGCTATACAAAACATAAAGATAAAAATTTCTAGAAATACTTGGTAATTTCATTCGTGGCTGTGTTGGTGCAACTGAAAAGTGCATGATTGATCGAACAATTAAGTCATGTACATGCACGTAACGTACTATTCTCTCAAACTATATACAATATTATACTATGTATATAGATAAAGTAATGTAGCGTGAGGCGACTGAAAGTCGTACACATAACCAATGTAGCGTGATTTTTCGCAATTTTCTTACATAACACAACGCTAGGCAAAATACCATTCGATCGAGAAATCAATCTTTGAATAATCCTAATTTTCAGAATTCTATCCGTGAATTTCACGTTAATGTAACTGTAGGAAATATTTTACGAAATTAGAAATTAGACTATATTTCTATAACACGATGAGGAAATTCAAACGTATTAAATTGTATATAATTGTACAATTTTTAGGTTATTGGACGACTTGAGTTCGGTGGGCCAGAATGTCAAGGATCCGCTTTGAATCATTGGAGAGAAGTTTGTAGCTCGCCGCAGAGGCAGATCGCTGATTGGCACAAATTAAGGGAGTAAATAAATCTCTCCCGACTCTATCAATTTTCCTGGAATCCCATCTCCAACTATCCAAAAAGCCCCACGTCCTTCTCTTGTAAAACCACCAATCCCCTTGAAACCCTACGATGAAGTAGGGTATCTGTTTTGTAAACCTAATACTCGATGTATATTAGGCTTGAAGCGAGTGGCGGCACGTCCACCCGCGATCGATGCAACTGCGGATGCACCACGTGAAACATCCAATCGTTACGTGTCGGCATGAAGCGAGTACGAATAGTAACTTCTGATCGCACGATAATTTTCGAATACAACCAGGCGTCGATTCGATAACGAAACTGCACTTGCTTCTCTCGATTTAGATACCGAAGAAATCGATATTATCAACTGATATTTTTCGTATTTTCCTCGATTCGAATTGTTTCTACAAATAATAATTTTCATTTAATAAAATTTTTCTTTTCTATGATTAATAACAATACATTTTATGTAGACACTTATCAATATTCTGTTCTGAAAATAAATAATATCAAGATTACAACAATAATATCAATGAAATTATAGATCAATAATAATTGACGACTTACAATCGAAAATTGATTCTTCTATGTTTCTAGCTCTCGAAAAAAGTATAACATTCACTCGATTAAAGTTGCGATAAGAATTAATATCGCTCATTCGTACATTCAAATGATCGATATCGTTTTCATTATTGATATCGATTAATCGAATTTTAATCAATTATCGACCGTCGATTGCATCTTCATTTATCGCAGTAGCAAACGATCGCGGGAGAAACGCATACAAAATGCTTTACGATAAATATAGTTGTTAAGATTTCCGACCAGATGGCAAAGGGAGGAGGAAAATGAAGCAGTTAAATATGAAGCAATCGAACATTTGCTGATTGATGAACATCGCTGCACAGGGTCCTATTATCGAAAGATTTGCAAAAAAAATTACGTTAAAAAAAAATTTTTAAATCAGTGATTCTCAATTCAAATTGCAGATGAAACATACATTAAAATATTACTATTGTTATGTAAAGAAAACGTAATATAATTTAAAAAAAAAAAAAAGTAAGCATTTATAAATTGAAATTCATGGAACTTGGTAAATTTTTTTTTCAATAAGAAGAAAAATTTTACATGACCCTGTGATCATGAAAATCGTCGGGAAGGTGAATATGAATTAATCGGTAACAGAGAATATCGAAAGTCACATAACACACTCGCAACTATGTTTATTTCGCTTGTCGTCAAAATACAAGAATCCCTCCAAAGTATTCATCAAACATATTACAATAAACGGGAACAATCTTACAATATAATTTTCTGTCAGACTTTCCTCTTAGCAGAAAGAAAAGATTCAAGTACTTCAATTAACTTTTATTGTTATTTTTCGATATTTATAAAATAAAAATTAAAAATTTTAGTAGGTAATAACTTCAAATAATAAATGAATAAAGTATATTTTTTGGAGCGATTCTTGTACAGAAAATATGCAAGCATCACGAGACGTGGAGGTGATGCTGAAAACAGTGTAAGCATCAATTAAACTTAAAAACAATATTACGATTATTCGTTCCTGTTTCAAAATTCCTTGGCTCCACGTCAACTGACGAATGATAATTTGATTATTAGAAATAAGGAAAGTTACGATTGCTAAACGCAAAAATCAACGCCAGCTTTTCCGTTAAAATGTCGAAAATTTTCGATATTTCCTCTTTCGTCCCTCTCTCTCTCTTCTCAAAATAAAATTTTTAAAAAGCGTTCAATAAAGTTCTCATACTACTTGCTCCAGCAGAAAACGCTGTATCAAGTATATAATATATGTTTACATAGGAGAGAAAACATAGTATATATTGCTATAAAAACTTTATAGTGCATTAAATTATTCGTATATTTTATAACACTGTTATATTCAATTTTTGATTTCTTCAAATAAATAATTGATTTTATATTCGTGAAAAAAGTGAAGTATTTCTTTCTTCACGTTATTTGTGGAACAGGGTCGAGAAATTGTGACGTTGTTTTAAAGTGCCAATGAAGTCGCCATGTTTTGCGATTGTAAATATGTAACTTACGTTTAAATAGAAAAAAAGAATGATCGAAATCTTTATTTAATTAAGAACTCATCGTGGTTTCAATTGCTATTAATGAAAAAATTAGAATGTACAACTATAGTTTATAAAAAAAATTCCATTTGCACAGAATATAACAAGAAACCGATATCAATCTTGTAGTAATCTTGTTGAAAAATTTTTAATAGTAGTTAATTATTATTATTAAATAATCATAAAAATAGCAAAAGTCAGCTTTCAACGAGTGAAAGTATTATTAACACTGCTTTACGCAATCAAATTACAAATTATTTTAAAAAAAAAACTTTGTTATTTGACAATGTATTGATGTACCTATTGTTATAGATAGAAAATTATTTTTATTCAATTAATATTATATTTTTTACTTATTTGACGAATTTAAACATATGTATAAGAATATAATTAGGAAGAATTCTAATTACAAATTAATAGTTTTTAAATTAAAATTTCACTGAAAAATAAATTAATGTATGCGCACGAGGTATTAATCATAAATTTAATTGTGTGAAAGAAATTTCTGCTTACAGATTCCGTTCGCGTATACAACACTGAAGTGAGTAACGAATATCGATTAAATTATTATACATTTTTTAATTTAACGAAAAAAAATAAAGTTAATTTAAATTTAAGATAATTTTTGACACATATTGATTATATATGGAAATGTGAGCGCTTCATAATTAAAATAACTTTAGAATTCTTCAGCATTACCAATTATTATTAATTTCGAAATATTTACTACGTTCAGGGCTTTTTTTCTGATGATATGTTTCTACATATATAACATGATAAAAATTTTCATAAAAAAAAATAACAAAAATGTTCCTAAAAAGTAATCATATGTAACTCGATTAAATAAATATTTTTAATATATCGAATATTCAAAATATGCAAAATAGAGCAACATTTTTCAATATAAAGTTTCAAAAATTTCAACAAATTTCATTAAACATTTCATATTACATGTTTTGAAAATACGTAAATTAAAAATTAAAAATTGTGTCAATTTTTTATTAATTTAAATTCCAAAAAAAAAAATTCAATTAAAAACTTAAATTACAAAATATATTAATATATTTGTTGTTTTTTTATAAAGTTAAATATCAAAAAAATAAATATTGTATTAAAAATTTCATGTGAAACATTAAAAATTTTATGTAATATGTGAAATATCGATAAAAATAATATCTTATATTATAAAATATGTTAAAAAAGAAAATGAAACACAAAAAATAAAATTATTTAACTGAAAGTGAAAATTAGGATAAAATAATTAAAACTGCATGATAAATATAGTAAATGTTAATTAATTTTTGTGAAAATTTAAATTTATTAAATAAAATTAACACAAACAAATAATAAGCAACGCTTAGAATTATAGAACGAATGATGAAATCAAATAAAAATGCGACTTGTATTTTCTGTCGACAGAAGAAAAGCACCTGACAAGTAAGATGTTCATATACACGCGCACGTCAAAGTCAATAACTAGTAACATATAAAACGATTGCTTATTTTTTTATCACAACTTTCCGCTCCATCGTCCTTCCTTTGCAAAAAAGATAAAAAGGCAAGATCAGGAAGAAAGAATTATTGAAGCAAAAAGAAAAAGAAATTTTTTTCTTACAGAAACGAAGATGCAACGACGAAGTATGGTATAGATCAGCACCAATAAAAAACGAAAGTAACAACAGGTACATTGCAATATATTACAGAAGACAAAAGATACATAAATTTTCATAATTAAATAATGGTAGAAAAAGAAAAGAGAGGAGAAATTCAAAAGATCGATAATGTTGCACATAATGTTAATCAACCAAAGAAAAAAATGGCATTACATGATCAAGAATTTCAGAATATTTATTTAATTGCTATACCATTAAAAATACAACTATATAAGAAACGAATATAATAAGTAGCACGTAGAGAAACATCTCATAAATATCGTCTGTCGTTCTCCATGAAGCTTGTTATTGATTGTTCGATGATTTTCTGATAAAATTACAGTTGATGCGATTTCTGACAAATTGATGACAATTTCTAACGAGTAAATCCTTAATGTTTATATAGAATGAATATTGGAATATTATTAGAATCATAGAACGAATTCATGGAATATTTGAAGAATAAAAAATATGCAATGTAACTATTCTCATTGTTCTGATATATTCGTTAGAATATTGATTCATCAGAAAATGCAAATATAGAAAAAAGCTTCTCGAGATCAACAGATACGATGTAACATGATGAACATCGATACTGAATGCTGGAAAATCACCGTTCTTGTCACAGTTCCTTTATATTGTATTTCTTTTTTTGTTTATCGAAATTTTCCTGGTTACAGACTTTACAACGATTTTTTGTATTGAGATTTACAATGTAGTTGATATTAATTTATGGAATATAGAAAAAAGATTCACTTTAATTGTTTAGAATCCTTTCCTGTTTTCCAAAAAAAGATATTATGTAAATTATCTTTAAATGGAGCAAAATTATTTTTTTATATTTTTATATTTTCTTTTTCAAAACAGAATCACTATTTTTTAAAAATTTTGTAAATTTACTTTCTATATTTTTTTTTATTTCTTTATGTAATATTATATTTATTCTGTAATATTTCAAAATATGTTTGTCATATAGTTATTATTTTACGAAATATAATCGTTAATATAATATTTTGAAAATGATAAAATTCAATTACAATTACAAATGAATTTTAAATTTTAAATGTACATTTACTTATATGGGAAAGTCCTAAAGTCGTTAAGTTTTTATGAACTTTCAAACAATAATAAATTTTAAAAAACTGAAACTAATGAAAGATTTAATAATTATATATTAAATCTAAATTAATGACAATCTGCTTACAAAATCGGCTACCATTAGTTTATTTTTTTTTAGATCTACTACTGAAAAAAAAAGTAAAAAATCAACATTTCATTTTAAAATCTTCTTCAAAAAAAAATCATAAACTAAAAATAATTCATTACATTAATACATTGAAATATTTTATTTTATAATGTGATATATTTTATATTTTTCATTATTTTATAAAATTAAATATATAAAATGATGAAAATCTGTTAGACAAAAAAAAATTTTTTGATATTAAAATAATTATATATTATAATTTTATTAAAATTATATTTATATTATTATATTATGTATTATTAATAACAAATTATATTTAGATTATTATAATTATAATTATTTTTATTATAATTTATTATATTTAAGAATGCATTTTTATAATTTTTTATTATATTATATTATAATTTTTTATTTATTCTTCAAATAATTTATTTATATAAAATAATATCAGATTAAATATCAGATGAAAAAGAAATAAAAGAGATATGTATATATATTTTTAACTTGATAAAAAAATTAAATAAATAAAGACCCGGAAAGCTATTTTACAAACATATTTTAAAACTATTTATGACTTCCGCATCATATCTTACATATTGCGAAACTAGATTTTAAAATGTTACTTTTAATTCATAATTTATGTAATAAAATATTTATATGTACAATAAATAATCAGTGTACAATACAGATAGTAACATCAATTAAAGTTATTTTGCTTTTATAATAATCTTTATAAAAAAAAAATATTATAATTTTTTTTATTTCTTATGTTTACTTCTTGTTTCAGTCCTTTTTTTATTTTTATTTTCATTTTTTTTCCAATAAGAAAATCAATTAACAGTTACAAATCAATTATATCTTATTTCTTAAAATAAAATATCTAATTATCTTTAATAATTACAAAAAAAATAATGGCACTTGTATACAATACATGAAAATATACTTATATAAATATAAATAATCTAAGTTAATATAATATCATTCATATTTAAATGAGCTAAAAAAAATTGTAATAAAAAATAATTTGTAAAGAAAAATATTAATAAAAAAAATATAACGATGCATTTTAATTTATATAAACTTATATAAATATATAAATTTAATTATAAAAAAAATTATAGATACATATCTTTATTATATTTTAATTTAATAACAATTTAAATATATTTATAAATCTATTCCATCATATAAATTTTTTTATAGCGAATAATTGTAATATAATAAAATAACTGATAAAAATATGTTTCAATAAAAAATAAAATGAAAATCTAGAAATTTTAATATAAATATTAATATAAAAATTTATTTGATATAAAAATTTTAATATATTGATATTTTTCTTTGCAAATGCCGCAATATAGCAAATTATATTTAACACAAAGTTCGCAATTAAAAATAAATCTTGACAAGAAATTGGTGCTTTTCAAACATTCCGCATATCATGTATGCGCATAAGCGTATAATGACATGCTATGTACGATCAGATTTTAAGGCTGTGTGGTCAATAAAATAATAAAACGAAATAATTCATGATTTTTTTCATCCTCTTTATAAAGAAAAATAATATACTTTATAATATATAATGCTACAATTATATAACAAATATGAAAATTTCAATATAAAAATGAATATATATTTAAAAATGAATATATTTAAAAATGAACGATATATATAAATATACTTTTAATTTGTCATTATTATTAAATAAAATTAACTTTAAGTTATCATATAACTTTAAAATAAATCATTTTTGTCTTTTTTAAAATTATCTTTTTTTTTAAAAATTAATATTAAGCAACAAAATATTGACAATATACATAGTTATAAAAATATTTTATTTATAAATTTTGTTTACAAATTTCTGAGTAAAATATAAAAATGCATTAACAGGAATGATTAAATTATGGAATAATGAGTTATATAAATTATTGCAATACATTCATACTTTTTGCATATATTAAAAATGAAAAATTAGATGATTAAATGCAGAAATATCAAATATTAAGTAATTAATTATTTATATAAGAGTTTATGTGTTTAAATAAATTAATAAACATTCCTGTTTATATACAAAAATAATATAAACATTTCACATAAATATTATTTTACAAAACTTACAACAAAATAATATATATTGGTAAAATCTTTATATTATTTAAAATATAAATTACAAAAAAAATTTCAAATAATACATACAATTTTTATATCATAAAATTATGTAATAATGAAATAATCATATAGTTTAGAAAGTTTTTTGATTAAGTAATATTAAATGTTATTTATAGCAAAACAAATCAATACATTATTCAAAAAAATGTTATATACAAGAAAATAATTACATATATTTTAAATATAAATATAAAATAATGAAATAAGAAAACATTATATATACCTTTGGTCCATTCTATATTAAACAATCAATATTTATATTATTTTCAAGATATTTACTATTTTATGTTTAAAAAATATCTAAATCATTAAACATACATACATTAACAAAGGTAATGCTAAATTATCAACTTGATTTGTTTGTGCTTCGACAAATGACAGCGCAATACTTAATAATAAACTTCGCAAAAATAACCAACCACTATTTATATAACCTATTAAAAAAATATATATATTAATTTTAAGATATAATAATTTTATATACTTAATTTTAATTTAAAATATATAGAATTTTATTTTATTATTTTATTTAAAAAAAATATGATTTCTTTAATATATATATTTGTATATTAAATATAATTATAAAAATAAAAACTTATAAACTTAACTTATAATTTTATAAAAATCTAAGAGAAATATTTTAAATATTACATACCCATAAATGTTAGAAGACATATTAATCCAATTTGAGTAAGAAAACAAGCAATTGTTCCTTCAAAAGATTTATTGGAATTGGTCCATTTGTGAAAGCCCCATTTACTACCAATAAAACTAGCAGCAGTATCACCCACGCCAACTGTTAAAATACCACTGAGCAAAGTTAATAATGAAAGATTATTGGTAGGCATCCAAAGTGGAAAGGATAAGCCGCAAAATAAGTATAAAGGTGTTAAAGAAATCAAATTATCTTTTTCATCAGCAAACACAGAAAATCCTTGTTGTAATATTTTCCCAAAAGGTGGTATTTGTAAATACCTTATCAACTAAAAATGAGAAATTTAAGAATATTATGAACATAGTAAAAAAAATGTAATTTTTTATTAAGCATAGTTATATACCTCGAGAAATACAAATAATCCCATTATTATACCACTAGCTAAATATAATAATATACGTTCATATATTAAACCAGGTATATATACAAGTACAGCTAATAAATGAAACATTTTTCTAGTTGAAGTTGTTGCTTGAAGATTTATTAATACTTGATATGTAATAACTGTTATACCTAATAATAAACATATAATCCAATATCCAATTAAGATGATCTGTAATGTTTGCAAGTATTAAAAATTACATATTCATGTAGTATATACTATAAATTATTATTATTAACCTTATTTGTTTTATTACAGAAGTAAAATATCCAAATCAAAGGATTTTGATCCAATAAGATATACATTAACGGTATAACAATTGTTAAAAGACTAATAGCCAATATGTAAAAATTTTTAGTCGAATTAAACATTGGAAAATAATTAGATATTAAACATACTGATATCACATACAGCATTATAACCTGAAAATATATTTTTTAATTATTTCATCAAATTTTACATTAAATTTATTGAATAAAAATTCCCTTTAAAATACCTGTAAAAAAACTGTTGCAATATCGTTATCATGGATTGGTGGCAAATGATATCTTAAGGGCAAATTTGTTACTACAGACATAAGAACAAAATACATCCATGCATAGTTGCTGTTGCTTCTCCGATTGTGAAACAATAAGGAAATGTAGACATCAATTGAAGAATGCCCCAAGTTCCTAAACTACTAACACTTAAGCCCCATATGACACTCATCAATAGTCCTGTTCTTATATATGAATGAATAAAATAATTTTAACTAAAATAATGATTTTATAAAATATTAAATAAAAAATATTTACATAAAATATAATATTACGATTTACATAAATCATATACATGTAAAATACATTTTAATTTAGCTAATTGATAAATATATAAGATATGGTAGAAAATATTATTAATAACATAAAATAATATTTATAAATTGTACCTTTATTTGCAACAAAAAGATATAATAAGGATGTTATTATAGCTGGTAAAAAATATATAGCTTGAAAATCTTTAACTGTTATTTTTTCACTTGATAATCTCAAATATAAACATATAGAACTAATAATAAGACCAATTCCTGTAAGACCCACAATGAGACAAATTTCAGAATAACTAGAATCTTCTTTTAATAGAGTTAAAATTGCACTTAGACCTATTAATGTTCCAAGCCATAATCCAGTATTAGCTTTTATCCTAAAATATTTTTCATAATTTTACAAAAATTTTAATGATTATAAATTTTCATAAATATAAATATTTTTATTATAATAATAATATCATTTTAGTTATATTTATAATACATCAAACATATAAATATTTTTAAATTATATATAATTTTGAATATTATATGATATAAATATAATATACAGATTATTATAATTTGAAAAAAAAGTAAAAAAATAAATATTTTATTTAGATCAATTGATTAAAAATATTTTATAAGAATTTAAAAATATATTTAACATTTCATATATATTTTTATTTACTTAATTTATTTTTAAATATACAAATACATATATCTATATCATTGAAAGAAAAAAAATTGAATATATCAATATATTAATATAATATAATATATTAATATATATTATAAATATTTAAAAAAACAAACTTTATTTCTTTATATATTACACGATTTTTAATGAGTATATAAAATATAAACATATCAAATAATCAATATTCTAAAACAAACTTCGAGGTTAAGTCACATTAATTTTTATGTTTATACAATATATAATGAACATACCGATGTTTTATGCCATTATCTTTCAAACTATGTAATATTCTTTCTTCAAAATATCTATATTTTCTTAAAATAAATTCCATTGTTGATAAGGAATTAAAAAAAAATATATTTTTACACCATTAGTAACCACACCCCCAAACATTTGATATGGAAAATATAATGTTATCTGAAAAGTCTTTCCGTTATTTTTTGTTACAATAGAATATATAACAATCAATTACAAAATAATTTGATATATAATTTAATTTCATTTTATGTAAATCTTAAAGTTTTATTCTATAATTTTTAATATTTATCAATAATTTATTTATATTTTTGTATTAAACATTATGTTATATATTATTATCATATATATTATCACTTATATCAATAGTATATATTATTATCATTTATATCACATATATATTTTATATATAATTTATTATGATTTATATATAATTTATAAAACAAAGTTATAATAATAAATTTAATAATATTTAAGTGAATAATAAAAAATTAAACTTTTTTTATAATATAGCGTATATATGTTGTTATATATTAACACAAAGATATTATAAGCGAAAAATAAAGATATATCAATGATTATGATATTATTTATTTTATTTATGATTTAAACATGATTTAAACATTATATAAAACATTTATATAAAAATAATAAAACAATATCGCAAGAACAAAATAAATTATTGCTTTGCTAAATATTTTTTATATATATTATGTATTATTTAACAATTTATATTATTTATGATACAATATTATTTAACAATCATTTTATATTTTTCATTTACATTAATTTATTAATTACATTAATGTAAATGAAAATTTTATAATATATCAATAAATTTTATAATATATCCTTATGCAAAGGAGTATAATATTTAATATTAACTTAAAGTATATTAAAAAATTATTTATCTAACAATTTAAATATATTAATAATTTCATTATAATAATTAAAATTTTTTAAATTATATAACATCAATTATTTAATATATATTTATCAAGAAACTTTTAAGAAATATATTTTTTAGCAAATGCGATTAACCCATTTGTTGATGAATCATGATTTGTAACTGGTTGGGTACTCTCTAATTCAGGTTCAATTACTTTTGCTAACTGCTTCCCTAATTCAACACTGTTGGAATAAAATTGATTTATTTATTTTTTATTCATTTAAAATTTTTAATTATTAAATATTGAAATAAGTATTTACCCCCATTGATCAAATGAATTAATATCCCAAATAATTCCTTGTACAAATATTTTGTGTTCATACATAGCTATAAAAATAAAATATATTTAAATAAAATATAATATAAATAATATTTTAGTATATTATATATGTTTAATTTACCAATCAAAGCTCCAAGAATAAAAGGCGTTATTTTTTTAAGAAGGATAGTATTGGTTGGTCTATTTCCTTCAAACACTTTATGTGGTAATAACAAATTTATTTGTTCAGGATTTATGCCTGCTTTTTGCAATTCAGTTCGTGCTTCATTCTCACTTTTTCCTTTCATTAAAGCTTCAGTTTGTGCAAAACAATTTGCAAGCAAAATTTTATGATGAAGATTTCCTTGAACCTATTAATATTCTATTATTTATATTAAAATTACTAAATGATTAATTAAATGATTAATTTTAATAGTACCTTGTTATGCGATTGTATTGGAATTATAAAATCACAAGGAACAAGTCTCGTACCCTGATGTAATAATTGATAAAATGCATGTTGTCCATTAGTACCTGGTTCTCCCCATACAATTGGACCTTAAAATATTTTTTTTTTCATACATATTTTTCTTTCTAGATGTACAATAGAATGCATAAAATATTTACCAGTAGTATAATTCACAACTTTTCCTTCTCGTGTAACATATTTTCCATTACTTTCCATATCTCCTTGTTGGAAATAAGCAGCAAATCTATGTAAATACTGATCATATGGTAATAATGCATGTGTTTCAGCTTTATAGAAATTGTGATACCATATTCCAAGCAAAGCTAATATAATTGATGCCTATAAAATAATAATATGATGATATGAATATATATTTCATTGAATATATATGTACTTTTTTAAATATATAATGATTCAATATTTTAATATTTCATTTAACTACACTAAAAATCTAATTATGAGCAAGAATTAAGTATTTACATTTTTTTCTAATGGAGCAGTACAGAAATGTTGATCCATAAAGTGTGCTCCACTTAATAATTTTTCAAAGTTTTCAAATCCAATAGACAAACAAATTGACAAACCAATAGCAGACCATAATGAATAACGTCCTCCAACCCAATCCCAAAATCCAAACATATTTTTCTCATCAATACCAAATTCTTTTACTTTTTGATTATTAGTTGATAATGCAACAAAATGCTGTGCAACCGCTGTAGGCTAGGTAAAAAAATTATGAAATATAATTATAAATATAAATTTGTAAAATTGTATTTCCTATTTTTTACTTACATTTTTTAAAGTTTCTAAAAGCCATATTTTAGCAGAAATAGCATTTGTAATTGTTTCTTGAGTAGTAAATGTTTTTGATGCTATTATAAAAAGAGTTGTTTCTGGATTCAATTTTTTTAGAGTTTCAGCTATGTGAGTTCCATCTATATTACTAACAAAATGAACACGTGGTCCAATATGAAATGCCTTTAATGCTTCAGTTACCATTAAAGGACCCTACATATAATTACAATTACATTTTAATGAAAACAGAATCTATTTACATTTAATATAAACAGATAATAATTTATATAATATATAATATACCAAATCTGAACCACCAATTCCAATATTAACAACATCTTCAATTGGTTTACCAGTAAAACCCTTCCATTGTTTTGAAATAATCTATAACATAAAAAAAATAAATATTAAAGTAAAAAAAATAGTAATTATATATATTGATTTTAATATATTAATTATAATATTATATTATATATATTAATTATACCTCATTAGTAAATTGTTTCATATGATTCAATACCGCATTTACATCTGGCATTACATCTTTATTATCAACCAATATTGGTTTATTAAGTCTATTACGTAAAGCAATATGTAAAACTGCTCTATTTTCTGTAAAATTAATCTTTTCTCCTTTAAACATAGCATCTCTTGCAGCTTCTACTTCACGTGCTTTTGCCTTAAAATTATTAAAATATATTAAAATATATTAAAACATTTATATAAATTTTTGTAATTACAATATAATTTTAATAATTTAATATTAATACATACCAATTCCAATAATAATTGCAATGCTTCTTTAGTAAGACGATTTTTAGAATAATCAAGTAAAATTGGTCCATCTTCGGGAGTAGAAATTTCTAAGCTAATAACAATTAATATATAATATATATAAAATATTATAAATTAATAAAATACTTTTTAACTTAAATTTTTTAATTTCATTATAATATATAATAAAGCTATTTTTTTTTTCATTCTGGTACAAAATATATCTCTTTGTATTAATTTAATTTATAGTTATTTAAATAATATATATATGCATAAAATCAAATAAAGAAAAAATTAAGAAAAAATTTAATTTTTACAAAAATTAAAATAATAAAAATATATTTATATTAATTTTATTAAAAAAAATGCAAAAAAGACATTTCCATAATAAATTTATAAGCAATAATTTTATTCGAGCAAACATTTTCGAAAGGTCATATCAAGGTCACATGTCAAGGACAAATAAAACTTACCTAAAATTTTCAAAACGTTTAGGATCTTGTTGAAAAAGATCATATATTTTGATTTTTAAACCATTCGTGGAAAAATATTGTTGCAATTTAGTCCATGCTACTTCGGATGTTAATTGTAGTTTTGGTTTCATTTTTTTTTTTTTAATTTAAGAAAACCGCGTTGCTAAACACAAATCCAAATACGTTTCTATGATCAACGATTTATAAACTGCATTCATTCATATATTAACTCTCTTATGTTTAGGCTGTTTTTCAATTGTCTTTTCCAATTATACTTTATGATATTTTCATGAAAATGATGTTTAAAAAATAGCTTTAAAAAAAAATAATTTATTTAAATTTTATTATTTTTAAATGTATATGCGTATTAATTTTTTTATTTTAAAAATATAATTTGTTATTAATATTATTATTGAATTTTATTGATTATAAAGAAAATTTAATATAAATTTAATGAAATAGAAATAATAATTTCTGTATTTGTTACTAAAATTTTTTTCTCTTATTTTAATCAATATAAAAAATATCGATATAAATAATAATTAATAAAACATAATATTTTTACTAAATAAATTAAATAGTCTTCTTTTATTTAACATAAAACTAATAAATAGTTTTTGCAACTGATATTTTTAATATAATATATTTATCATAATTAAATATATAATTAAATTTAATTATTAAATAATTATGTCTCAAAACTTTATTTTTTTTTAAATTTTATATATTTTATTAAATAATAATAATTATTAGATAATAATTTTTAAATTTATTATTAATTGTTTATATATTAAATATATGAAACTAAATTGAACTACGGAATACACACGGAACGATGGAACAATGTATCATGTAGTACCTATGTTCTAACTGAATTGAGTGCAATCATCGAAAACTCTGGAGTCTAAATTTTTAGGTTGTTTTTCGAAGAAGTTTCAACGTTTCATTCTTTTATTATTGTAGATAAAGTAATAAAAATTGTAAAAGAAGTTGAACTCCATTAATTTGGTGGATTGTTCTTATTCCAGGAGTAAAAATGGTAATTGACTTTTGTTTTGACTACTTTAAACATAGACATTTAATATTTGTTTATTTAATTTAATTATTTTTTTAATAATTAGAAACATATTTTAATGAATTGATAATTACATAGTTTACAATTTTAGATATTATTGCTATTGTTATTATTATGATTATAATATAAATATATATGAAAATATAAAAACATGTTAACTTTAAATGTAAAAACATTTATTTTAATGTTATAATAGTATTTTTATAAAATAAATATTTTTAAAACAATGTTTTTTTAAATTCTATATTATTAATGAATAAACACAAAAAAATAACCTAGTTATAAATATTTATAAGTAAAAACTAATTAACTATAAATATTTTTATTATTTTATATATAAAAATAATTAAATTATATGTTCTTATTGTTGTTGTAGTCTCATACAATATTGCTTGTTCAACCAGGTAATAGACCTGAAACAAGAACATATTCAGATTATGAAAGTGTTAATGAATGTATGGAAGGTAAGAATATTTAAAATTTGAATATTAACTTTTAAAAAATTTTTAATAAAAACGAAATATTTATATAATGTAAATAGAGAAAAATAAAAAAAATTTGATTTTTAATATAGGTGTATGCAAGATTTATGAAGAACATTTGAAGAGGCGAAATCCAAATACACCAACTATAACATATGATATCAGTCAATTATTTGATTTTGTTGATCAACTTACAGATTTATCATGTCTTGTTTATCAAAAATCTACAAATACATATGCCCCATATAACAAAGATTGGATTAAAGAGAAAATATATGTTTTATTACGCCGAGCTGCAGGACATGGCAAATAATTAATAAATAAAAATAGATATATGCTTTATAAGACAAATTATCTTTAAGTAAAAATATATTACTGTTTGTAATAATAAATATATAATAAATATATAAAGAAACTATACTATTATATTCATGTATTATATAGCAATTTTTTAAATATTGATTTTAGATATAATAATGATTATTTTTAAACAAATTTTTAAATATTTAGATATTTTTTATTTTACATACATATTTTATATATATACTATATGTACATAATGATAAAATAAATTTTTTTTTAAATTTGCATTATTTCCAGATAAATGTAAATATTCATTAATAAGTTTTTAATGATTTCATGTAAAAGCTATAAATATTAAACATTTAAAAAGACTTCGTGTATTTTTATATCAAAATAATTTTAGATGTGAATAAACAAATAATTAATTAATATTTATGTATTAATTTTCAATAATAAAATAATTAAAATAATTATTTCCAGTTATTTCTTTGTTACCAACTGATACTTGCTTATTATTTATAAAATAAATTCTATTTTATAATATATGTGAAAGAATTTAAAAAAATCATTATTATATATAAATTATATTTTTTATTTTTATTTGTATATAAATAATTTAAACTTTAAATAAACTAAGAAAAACTAATTTTTGTAAAAATGAAATTACTGACTTAAAGAAAATTATTACAAATTCTATTATTAAGTAAATTATATGTAATTTAAATTAATTATATTTGATTATATTATTAATAACATTTTATATAATAAATATTACATTTATATAAATTTTATTTATTTTTTTCTATTATCGTATATATTAATTTTAAAGTTATATACATATGTAATATACTATACATACAAGCAGTACAATATAGTACTTATATATTTTTTATTTTTAAATGATTGAAATGTAGTATTATCATAATGTTATGTTTAATCACTTATTAATATAGTTAATATATGATTACACGTTTACATAGTTTTTTATATAATGTATAGCAATGTAAAAACACATAAATTGTATATATCGCATTCTGTTTTACGCATTGCGTTTATGTATCAGCTGTCTACTATTAAATGCAGTAGTTTCATCGAGATACAAGAATAAGAATTATATATGTATTTTANATATATATATATATATATATATATATATATATATAAGTAATA